GCAACAGTTTCAAGTCATTCAGTGCAGAGACATGATTGGTACAGCATGTATGCTACATACAGTAGTACAAAACTTTACAGTTTTATTTATAAAAGGAAGCTTTGGATTTATATTTACATTGAAGGATCCATGGATGTGTTTGACATATAATTTGAAATAATATAAGTATGATTATTATTGTTTTTACAATTGAAGGATATGCTTGTACTGTACTTTTGATCATTAACCTAGCTAGGCCTAGGCCTACACAGTATAAACCTAACCCCACAAAAGCCTAGGCCCTAGGCCTATAGTATAATATTTATTACCTGTAGTAAGGGCAGGCCTAGGCCTATATGCCTATTTAATATGGCATTTAATATTAGTACAGTGTTTATTTTCAATTCACTCAATCATGTCCGGTGGTGATGTATGTATTTGCATCGTCGTCGCAAAACTAAAACAAGAGCTTTTCATCTGTGTGGCCAACATTGTAATACGTCATAGATAATTAGCATATCGTCCTAGATTACTTGTTGTCGCATATCTAAAACTCCTTTATGATACAGATTGAAACAATTTCTGTTTTGATTTTCATGTTTTACTTACTAAGGTTATCATTTAATTTAGTAATAATAAACCAATGTGCACATCAGTCCTGATTCACTGTTTTAGACAGAGAATATCAATGGGCAAGATTATAGGGATGGGTTATGGTACCTAAAATATCCTAAAAGCTAAAGAAAACAATAAGAAAGCCAACATTTCAAAATACAGCAGATAGCGACTAAAATATTAATAATTATTCATTTTTTAACTAAGAAGAGACACTTTCAGTGAAATACTGTATTAGGATAGCAATAAAAGCAGCCTGTTGTAAAGTACTGTATGTATATACAAACAAAATCCAATAATATTTAAAGTATTCTAGACTAAGTCCCACATAGCATTCCATTGTGTCTATGTAGTTGTACTACAGTAGACATACATTGTGATATTAAGAACTCAAAAGTATGCGAATTAAGAATGCTTGCTTACCTCAGTCATAGGAAAACCTATGGATAACAAGGCTTATTACAAATAGAAGGCATAGTAGATTCATTTTAAACTGTTCAACAAAGTCCAATTACATTTGTTTTTTTATTGTTTGGTATTTATGAAATTATTTTTCTTTCGATATTTTAGATAATATTCTCAATTAAAAAGTTGTCATGACTTAATGTGATGTTGATAATTTTGTTATTTTTTTTTTATTACTTATTGAGTCATTCCATGCCAACTCAACCAATTTCCAAAAAGTTTCCACGGTGAACGTCTTGGATTTTGCTAAAATTTTAACCAAGCAAACTTTGAGGGGTATTATGAAAAATCCCGAAGTTTCGTTGAAAAATTCCCAAGCGTTCCGAAGTTACGGCACTTTGAAATTTTTATGACACGCCCCTTTTTGTGACTCGCGAAGAGCAGCAATATCTTGCTATGGTTTTTGAAAGGCAATATTTTCATTTTTGGATGCACTAGAAAGCTGAAAATTACTACTCTGGCTCAGTTTTGCCCCTACTTTCAG